CATACTGCGTAGAATATTGGAAGTGAAGAGCAGTTCATTCCTTTGTATTGGATTTTGTTTCCCCGTTCGTTTAGAAAGCTACCAACCTCAAAAGAGATTGACTTGAGTTTGTAAGTTGATGGTTGATGTTGAGTCATTCTTTCTTAGGATCCAATTCTTCGACGTTCTGGAATGTATACCGTAGCCATGGCTTATTGTGGCTCTGGTAACAACAAGGCTATTCGACGCCTGCTGCATGTTGCTGTAAGTACCTGACCTTTCTGAAGGACAAAGTTGAAGGGAAGGTTTGCAGATGAATACCGCACCCATAGCACATAACCACCAACGGTGATCTAGGTGAAGATTCTCAGTCACTGGATACAACAGGCCATGACTTAGCACTAAGCTCACGCAGCTTGTCAGGACAGGATAACATATATCACTATGAATCAGCTTTTTTTTTTAAAGGCTATCTTTTTTCTTTTAAAGATTCATTATTTATTTGAAAGGCAGAGTTACAGAGAGAGAGGGAGGAGGAGAGAGAAAGAGAGAGAGAGATCTTCCATCTATTGGTTCATTCCCCAAATGGTTGCAACAGCCGGGGCTGGGCCAGGCTGAAGCTAGAAGATTCTTCCGGGTCTCCCACATGGGTGGCAGAGACCCAAGCACTTGGGCCATCTTCTGTTACTTTCCCAGGCACAATAGCAGGGAACCAAGTCAGAAATGAAGCAGTCAGGACTTGAACCAGTGCCAATATGGGATGCGGTGTCATAGGCAGTGGCTTAATCCACTAGTCAGGTATAACTTCCAAAACACTGCATGGGGCATTCTCGCTTGTAAGGGGTAGGAGACCATGTGAGGATGTGACCCACTCTGAACAACAGCAATAGCTGTTTTTACAGCCAGTGACGTTAGCGTCCAGGTACTCCTGAGGGACATGCTCTATCACAGGGCACATGCAAGTGTTTGCATTGTGCTTGAGTTTAGAACATATTTTTTTGGAAATAACATTTAAGGAATGGTTGGATTTTAAGGCTAGCTCACAAAGACTGTAATGCAGTTGCAATAATTTTTTTATTTGACAGGCAGAATTACAGAGAGAAGGGGGCTGAGAAGGAGAGAGAGAGGTCTTCCATCTGTTGGTTCACTCCCCAAATGACCACAATGGCTGGGGCAGGGTCAGACCAAAGCCAGGAGATTGCTCCAGATCTCCCATGTGGGTGCAGGGGCCTAAGCATTTGGTCTGGACTCCACTGCTTTCCCAGGCACATTATCAAGGAGCTGGAATAGAAGTGGAACAACTGGGTCCCAAACCAGCACCCATATGGGATGCCAGTATCAGGCAGTGGCTTTACCCACTGTGCCACAATGCCAGCCCTTGCAGTTGAAATAATTCAAGAGGTAGTACTAAATCTTAGCCTTTGTCAAACTTTAAAGGCTTCTAAGTCCTGAAATGCAATTCACACATGGCTTTCTAAATTGGAGACATTTTTAATGTGTCTTTGTTGTAGAAAAATTTACTATAGTGAACTAAGGTGTCTATAGTGATGTTATTATGTGCACACAGTGAGAGGATGGACATTTTAGTAAGAATATTAGTGAAAATAAAATAATAATCTTAAACTTTCCCCCCAGGTAAGCGATGTCAATGATGATGTCAGGAGGGCAGCAGTAGAATCACTTGGGTTCATTTTATTCAGGTAATAATTTATATTCTGTTTTCTTTTGTATTCATTAAACAGAAACTAAATATTGAGGAATATATCTAGGTTCAGAGTAAGAACCATTTAGCAATAAGAATTATGTTATGGGGTTCTGAGAACCTATTTGAGAAGTAGTAAATTGACTTAATTCTTACAAGTTTTGTATTTTTTTATAACATTCTCCTTTTTTAATTTTTTAAGTCCATATAACACCTCCAGTACTCTTCTTGTATATTTTGATATTTCAGTTGTACAGTTCCGGTGTCTTTGGTAAGAGTAAAAGGTTCATGAATAAAAGATATTAGGCCTTCTTTAAACGCAAAAGCGTGGAAGTTTTGCAGATTAAAAACAAATTACTTTGGACTTGTAGATGTGGAGAAGCCCTTCACACTAAACCGGTGCTTCCTAGGTCGACTCCTGGCTCAGCCTCTCATCAGCTGTGTAACTTGGTAGCTTAACCTCTTTGAGTCTCAGCTTCCTCAACTGTAAAGTGGGCATGGCAATAGTATGTATTTGAAAAGATAGGGTTTTTGGACAGCTAAGTGAATGGCTATAACTTATGCCCTTAGAGCTTACTCTAGTAAGCACCCTCTGAGTATTAGTGGTAATAATTGTAGTTGTGGTGGTATTGGTGGAGTTAGAGGTAATGCTTCCTCTAGGAGTTCTAGTACTGTCTGCCTAACTCCAGTTTCAGACATTAATGTTCTTTGAGCTAAAATAGTTTCCCTTCTTTCTTTTTTTAAAGTTTATTTATTTTATTTACTTGAAAGGCAGAGTAACAGAGAGGATAAAGAGAAAGAGATCTTCCATCCACTGATTTAGTCTCTCAGTGTTTGCAGCAGCAGGGGCTGGGCCAGGCTGCAGTCAGGGGCCAGGAACTCCATCAGAGTCTCCCACATGGGTGGCAGGGGTCCAGGTATTTGGGCCATTATTTTCTGCTTTCCAAGGCTTATTAGTGGGGCACTGGATCAGAAATGGAGCAACCAGGACTCAAGCTGATGCTGATATGGATTGTTGGCATTGCAGGGATCAGCTTAACCTGCTGCATTACAATGCCAGCCTCTAAAATAGTTTATCCTAAAAATATAATGAAGGCAAGTTAAAAATACTTATTTTACACTGGTTGGACACTGCATGTTATAGCTTATTTTGATGAAATTACATGGTAAGTTCCCAAGGCACATGTTAGGTGAGTCAAACATCTGTGTCCTTTTTAATCACTAGAAGAGATTTTCTACCCCAAGTTCTCTGGGAGTGGAGCTTTGTTGTAAATATTATAATGTAATAGAACATGAGTTTCTTGAACATCCTCTGTGAACTAATTACAGGATTCTCTCCATAATTACCAGATAGAAATTCATCTATTTACTGCCAGCTATAAAATATTTTCTTCCTATTGTGGATAAAAACATTGAGCAAAACACAGACCCTTATAGCATGCTAATGGGTTTCTTCTTACACTAGTTTTCTTGAATGAGATTGTTGAATGAGATGCTAATATCCTAGCCTCTAGTCTTCGTTTGTCCAATTTATTCACAGATACTTTGAGAGCCTTCACTAAATCCTAATGATATATTTATCCTGATCTACTAATCTGCTTCTTCTGAAACTGGGGGTGTGATTAGTTGGGTATGATCATAGTTTCTCATATAATACTAAGATCTGATAAAACCAGTGTGTTGAGCTATTCTGCATTTTTCAAAAGATCTGTAGCAGACTCCACCCCTCTAATTTCTTGGATCCTCTCTCTCCCTTTTTTTCTTTAAAATGTTGGAATGTTTAGCAACTTAAGTCTTTTTGAATATTTGCCATTTTCTGTTCTTCCTCCAAAATTTGTCGACAGTAATTCCATAAATATATCAACAAATTTTATTTTGGGGAAGTAATTCTGTTTAGCTTTGAGACTTGAACTCATCCAAGGAGCAAGTCTCTTCACTTGTTTTGCATTTTGATCAGTCTTTTTTATCTGCCTGATATTAAAATCATTCTTCATAAGAGAAAAAAATGGAAGTGGGATAGAAGTTGAGCAACTCCATTTCTTTCCAGTCATCTTTGGCAGATTATCTGGCCACGCTGTGACCCTAGGCTTTCCTTATTCTCTTGCTCTAAACACAATTGAAAAACAAAGCAAAACAAAAGTAGTTTATCATTGCCATACAGAGTATTTGGAGGCTTTTTGGTTTGTGTTTTTTGTTTGTTTTACATTCTTATTGGGAAACTAGGTAGTTTTAGCATGGAAAGCATATTCTACCAGGTGGATCTTTAGTTAACTGTTGGGTTGTATAAAGAATCTTGCACATATTTGTCTCTTGTTTCTTCATTGTCAGCTATTGATTCTTGTTATTGTCAGTGCCTTTATATTTCATATCAATATAAATCAGTGGCTTGATATGTATATTGCACCATAGAGGAAGTTGATGGGCTTTATGAAACTTTATTTCCTTTTTAACCCAATAGTGCTTTGCTGTTTAATTAAAATTAAAATTAGTTTTTCTCCTGTAGCTCACACATGAGGTAAATTCCCAGTTTCAGTAGCAGATGTCTCCAGTGAGCTGTTAGCCAGGAACTCGGTCTCATCTCCTACATCGATTGTAAGGCCCAAGCACTTGGGCCATCTTCTGCTTTCTTTCCAAGTGCATTAGCAGGAAGCTGTATTGTAAGTGGAATAGCTGGGACAGGAACCCATTAACCCAACATACCACAATACCAGCCTGTATGTGCTTATAACTTCTAAAGGACCATTGTGAGTTCTTTTTTCCACAATATGATTCTTTAAGAAGTAGGAACTAGCAAAGATTTAGAGATTTTTTTTAACTTATTCTATAGATGAAGAAAATTAAATGTAATTATCATGTAACTGGAGTTAAAAGCATGTTTTTTAAATTTTAGCTGAGTGTCATTTCTCTAGAGTGAGAGTTTTTTAAAAAACCTTTTTGAAAAGATTTTGTTTATTTATTTGAGAGGTAGAATTACAGGCAGAGAGAGGGAGAGGCAGGCAAAAGGTCTTCCATCCGCTGGTTTACTCACCAAATGGTTGCAATTGCTGGAGCTGGGCAGATCCAAAGCCAGGAGCTTCTTCTGGGTCTCCCATGCGGGTGCAGGAGCCCAAACACTTGCACTGCCCTCTACTGCCTCTCCAGGCCATAGCAGAAAGCTGGCTCAGAAGAGGAGCAGCTGGAGGCCAGCGCCGTGGCTCATAGGTTAATCCTCCACCTGCGGCGCCAGCATCCCCTATGGGCGCCGGGTTCTAGTCCAAATTGCTCCTTTTCCAGTCCAGCTCTCTGCTGTGGCCCAGGAAGGCAGTGAAGGATGGCCCAAGTCTTTGGGCCCTGCACCCGCATGGGAGACCAGAAAGAAGCACCTGACTCCTGGCTTCAGATCGGTGCAGCGCCAGCCATGGTGGCCATTTGGGGGGTGAACCAATGGAAGGAAGACCTTTCTCTCTGTCTCTTTCCTTCTCACTGTCTAACCCTACCTGTCAAATAAAAGAACAAAAAAAAAAAAAGAGGAGGAGCAGCTGGAACATGAACTGGCGCCCATATGGGATGCAGGCACCACAAACAGAGGCTTACTCCATTATGCCACAGCTTTGGCTCCTAGAGTGAGAATTTTTAAAGGTGGAAGAAACTTAGAAGTAAGCCAGTATTCTCATTTTTTTAAAGATAAGGAGATTGAATGCCAAAACAATTAATGAAATTTTTCATTGTCATAGTTAAATAAAAGAACTAAGATTCTAACATCCATAGTAGACCAGTGCTTTTTAAGTGTCTCTTCTAAATTCTATCAGCCGACTGTTGAGTGGAACAGGTTGGACTCATTACCACATCTAACAGGAAATATGAAATAATGAAGGTGAATTAAAAATCTTGTGTCAGAATTCTGTTTACCTTTGTCATTAAGCAAGCACAAGCAGCCATGATCTAAGTTTATGAGGTCACTTAAAGTTTGGGTCCCCAGATTGATGTGCCACGATTTCATTTGTTTATGTTCATTAATCACTTGAAGAAACATAGTAAGATTCAGATAGCACACGAGTTTGCTTGCTTTCTCCTGCAGTAGACCCACCTCTGCTGGGTTGATGTCTGGCATCAGCCATTTAGCAAACAGCTCTGAGATCCTCTTATTTTATGATGCTCAGCTCCTGGCGTTCCTCACCCTTCCATCAAGATAGTCTCCGTGTCAAGGGAGGATTCTGACTACGTTTAGCCCAGTCTGTCTCACTGTGGATGTGATCCTTTCATGCATACTTTCAGCTCTTTGTCTGTCATGCGCTGTGTCATGCTGCAAGCTTTTATGTGCTGAAGACAAGGTTAATGCTGGTTTGTTTTATTTCATTCTTAGCATAGCTTTGCATACAGTTAGAAACTAATTAAATTTTATGATATTGATCTATTTTTAAGCTTTAAAATGTATTCATTTAATGTCATTTGAATGCGATGACATGTAACCAGAGTGTTGGATTATTTTCATTTGTAGCTGTACAAAAGTTTTTTATGGAGTACTTTTGTCCAAGTAAGGAAGATTAGATAATCTTAATACTTAACTCTTAGATGATTTAATATATGACTATAATTCTTTATGTAATCCTTGATACATTTATATCTCATTCATCATCTTATTCATCATTGTATTAGATGAAAGCATCCAGTTCTGCTATACATAACTGACTTGCTCTTCAGTTTTGCCACCTTCATTTTCGGTGAGGAGAAGTGTATCTAGTAGAATTATTGATGAAGACTGAATGGTTGAACTTCGTAGCCTCATTGGGCTCTGGTACATGGCAGGATTGATCCCGTTTCTAATTCCATGCTTCATGAAAAACCTGGAGTTCTCTGCCATTGGATTCCGGAAGTGGATATTACTAGAGCATCTTCTAGGAGTTTTTACTGACTTTGTGGCCTGGTAATTGCAGGTGATGTATCGGCCAAATGCATCCCGAAATGTCTTATTGAAGAGGGTGTAGACCAGAGGATTCACTCCTGAGGAAATGTAGCCTATCCACACAAACACCTCCAGGAGCATTTGGAGAGTAGCCTGGTTACAGGAATCACACAAAACCAAAGTTATATTTGTAATAAAAAAGGGGCACCACATAAGTAAAAAGAGGAAAAACACAATTCCAAGGACCTTCGAGGCCCTCTGTTCGTTGGAAATTGTCTGCACTGACTTTTTCCCCACTGTGGACATTCTTCGCATAAGTATCTCATCACCTGAGTTGGACACACTTTTGTCCTGACGAGAAGCATCCAGCATTGCCACCTTTTCAGGTGATGAGCAAGGCGTATCATCCTTTTGGAAAACCGTGGACACAGTCAGCCACGTTAGGCGTTGCGGGGGCTTGTTTCTGACCACGTAAGCTTTCTTCTGTAAAGCGTGGATGGTGAGAAAATAGGTGACAATCATGATCGCGAGAGGTGTAAAGAAGGCAGCCAGTGAGCCAAAGAGCCTGAAATTGCCGAAACGCTGCTTTGTCAACTCACAAGTGACGTTGTTTGGGTTCTCCACGTTGGTCTCTATCCCTTTAATAGGGATTGGAATGGCAATGCCTAAGGAGAAGGTAGCAAGATATATTGAGTCATTTTTATGATCTAGAAGTCTTAGATTAAGGCTTTTGAGATTTTATACCGGTAGCGTTATGCTGGTTATTTCATTGTAATTCCTGGGACCCACAGTGCAGAATCTGTCAAAGTACTTATTGATGGAAGCTGTGACAAATAGAACCTAAGTAAGTAGATCTGTTTTTAAACAAAGGGATTAGTGATTTCAGATTTATGATAAAGTTTTCCTAAAGCTATAATACATTCTTGATATATTAAGGGATGTTTTCATTTACTATGTATTTCTGTTTTTATTCATAGATCTAGCCAGGTAAAGAGAAAGGAATTCAGAAGAGAAGTTGCTATAATCTTCATATCCCTTGTAGTTGATCTAGCGAGACTTGAGAGTGCATGTACCCAGTGTCTTTATTCTGAATAGTTGTCTGTTTTATTGCCTTTGTGGGCAAGTTTTATTCTGAATAGTTGTCTGTTTTACTGCCTTTGTGGACACAGTTTTATTTAGCAGGCAGTTGGTTATTTTTATTTATCCTTCTAACTTCTTAGGGAAAACTAAGGAATTCATATTTTAAAAATTCTACTTAAATATTTGAGAGTATGTAAATTGTGAGATTTATTTTCAAGATTTAGAATGTCTCTAATAGATGGGAAAGATATGTACCCCATGCTAATTTTCTAATACTTTAAATACCATGGAGTGAGTATTTAAATATGAAGTTGCTGGGGTGGACAGAGTATGATTTCTTAGCCATGGACCTATCTGGTAGCCTCAGTCTGACTGTATGGAGACATTTGTTGTACAAATATGACTGTTCCGGAGCCCTGCTACACAACACATGAACCTGGGCCAGTGGCATCAGTATCACCTGGGAGCTTGTTAACAATGCAAAAAAACCCAAAAAGCAGGGCAGACATTTGGCTCAGCAGTTGAGTAGCCACTTAGGACTGTCTGGAATCAGTTCTGCTTCTGCTTCTGCTTCTAATCTACATTCCTGCTAATGCCCCTGGGAGGCAGCAAACACTCGCCCCAGTGCTCGTGCCTCTGACACCCATGTGGGAGACCCGGTTGGAGTTCCTGACTTCCTGGCTTCAGCTTTGCCCAGTCCTAGCTGCTGTGGACATCTGGGGAGTAAACCCATGGTTGTAAGATCATGGTCTCTCCCACAGCCTTTCAAATAAGTAAACACTTAGAAATACTAAAAATTAATTAAATAAATATGTTGTCTAGTGAAATAGTTTATTAGAGAGATGACGAACATGAAGATTAGCCTGAATCTTTACTTTGAAACAGCAGATATTTTTTAAATGTCTGAATTAATCAATCTTTAGAAGCCTCTAGAATCCTGTTTTGTAAATCCAAAAGCCCTGCTTCTCCCGTACAGCCTTTTATGATTGTTGAAGAGCCCTGGACAGGAACGTTCTCCTGAAACCCTTTTGAGGGAGGGGATTGCCCTTTTTCTTCATGTGTGCCACCAGAAAGAGGAGTCTGCGGATTTGCTGTTGTACACCAGGGGTCAGCACACTGCAGCTTGAGGGCCGAATGTGGCTCACATTCTGTTGTGTGAAAGTTTTATCGGAACACAGCTGCACTCACTTGTCGGTGTATTGTCTTTGGCTGCTTTTGTTCTGGTACATCGGGGTTGAGTAGTTGGGGCGGAAACAGGATAATGCCTGCAGAGCTAAAATATTTATTTTTTTACCCTCTGCTGACTCCTGCTCCCTCCTCTACTCCCAGATCCTCGTTCCTCCATTCTTTCTCTTGCAGTACTTCCCTTTTCAAAACTACTTCCTTCTGAGTCTGTTGAATCACCTTACCCCATTCTTTCCTCCCTGTGGCCGTGTGCCATCCTCCAGGATACCTGTCTGCCGCAGTGATTCCAGTACTTGCTCTGGTCTTCATCTCCACTGCTTCCTTGACATCACCTTCATTGACTTCATCCCATTAATGACTCTCCCTAACACCTTAATCTTGAGGCTTGAATTCCTCAACTCTGGCTTATTTACATTCTTGAGGTCACCTAGAAGTCCAGTTAAAACAATCACATACCTAAATGCATGAACTCTTAATAGTTCCTTTCCTTGTCCTGCTACTCTTCACTACTGGAGAGCCACTCTTTTTACTGTTATCTTGACTTTTAGTTGATCTGTGCTTCCCTGTTTTTACACTTTAAGTTAATCCTCCATCAAGGCTCACTTTACCCTCCTCTCTAGCTTGTTGGTCAATAGCTTTGAAGTTTTCATTAGTACGTTTTATACTTTTACCCTCTTATTTTTAATACCTATCATTGTTAGGTGTTACCTGTGTGTATTAGTTTTATGCTGCTATAAAAACTCCACAGATGGCAATTTAAAATAAACAAATTTATCTGGTTATGGTTCTGAAAATGAGGAGGTCCAAGATCAAGGGCCCACATCTGGTAGGGGTATTCTTGTGGCAGCATGATGGAAAACATCATGTGGGAGAAAGAGCACAAAAGGGGGGGCCAAACTCATCCTTGGTGAACCCATTCCCTCAGTCATGGCATTAATCTACTCCTGAGTGAAGGACCCTCTGACCTAATCACTCCCCAAGGGCACCCCAGCACTGTTGCCCTGAGGATTAGGTCTCAGATACATGAACTTGGGAGACATGTGCAAGCCACAGCACTAGGATAACTATAAATGCAAAAGAAGAAAGTGAGCTCTCTCCAGCACTTCGTCAGAATTCAAAACTGTGTGAAGTTACTAAATTGTGATTGTTTTTACGAGACAGTATGATGAAGGGAAGAGCATTGATCTCCGCCTTAGTGCTGACAAGCTTTGACAAGAGTCCTTTAGCCAACTATTTAAAACCTCTAAGTTTCTTTTTTCTCATCCATAAAAGGAAGAAGTAGAATTTTAAGATTCCTTCCAGGTCTATAAATCTAGCACTATCTTATTTTTTTCCTTCCTGCATACACTTTGTATTAGTGTATTTTATTTATTTATAGGCCTTCCTTTGAGTGCAAGGATTCTTTTTGTTATTCATCTACATAGTCTTAGTACTTTGCTTGTTAAAGACACTTAATAAAAATGAATAGCTTATGATTCATGTTATCTGTCCTGTGTATTCCTTCTACCAAAAGGCTTTTTACCTTATTGGCTTGATCATATTTCACAACTTAAGATGTTTTAATTCTTAAAGATAAAGTTCCCTGCCTCTGCCCTCATCCACCGCCCCCTACAACACCTCACATTCCTTCCCTCTGCCTCATTGCAGTGAGCTTACCAAAATAATGTGGGTCATTTGAAATTAATTACTTTAGTTTTCCTCCTTTCCACTCAGATTTTTTTGATTGTCAGACGTTGACCCCCAACTCTCCTTCCTCGAATTTTTTTGGGAGTCTGTGGTGCTCTTAATCCCCAACCCCAAAATGCATTTTCTCACTGCCTGAAAATCTCTCCATTCTGCATAGGCTTTTTCTTGACCCTAACTTTGTTTCCAAACCAGATTAGTATCACACCTAGCTTTATCTCCAAACATCAAAAATGGTTTGGATCTAGTATCATAATTTCAGAATTAAAAGGTCAGTTTCAATATTTTGCTTTCTTGCCCGTGTTCTTACTGTGATTGGTGAGAAGTAACATCTTTTTCTTATCTTCTTGTAGCATTCCAAGTCTCTTAATTGTTTTCCTCTTTGAAATTTTTTTTTTACTATCAAGAAGTGGATGTGCAAGTCACATCATTGTAATTGTTGCACATCCGCTTATTTTTCTGATATTAATAAGAGTTTTGGGTAATGTGTGCCATATCACATGCTAAAATATTATAGCAGCTCTAGAAGTAATGTGAATTTTTTTTTCTGTAAGTCATTTCTGAATGACAGTTTAACGTCATTTCTTTGTATCCATCTTAAAACTTTTAATTAAACATTCAATACAGTTCAGTACTTGTCTGCCTTTAATCTGTACACATATTCAAGTATTCATCTGTACACATAGTAAAGTACTTCCAAGATGGTCTTTGATACCTCCTTAAAAATAGTTGGAGTGGTGGCTTTTTTCTCTTTTTCTGTTTTTTTTCTGTTTGTTTGGTTTTTTTTTTTTTTTTTTTTTTTTGACAGGCAGAGTGGACAGTGAGAGAGAGAGACAGAGAGAAAGGTCTTCCTTTGCCATTGGGTCACCCTCCAATGGCCACCACGGCCAGCGCGCTGTGGCCGGCACACCGTGCTGATCGATGGCAGGAGCCAGGTACTTATCCTGGTCTCCCATGGGGTGCAGGGCCCAAGCACTTGGGCCATCCTCCACTGCACTCCCGGGCCACAGCGGAGAGCTGGCCTGGAAGAGGGGCAACCGGGACAGAATCCGGCGCCCTGACCGGGACTAGAACCCGGTGTGCCTCCGCCACTAGCCTAGTGAGCCGCGGTGCCGGCCCCTGTTTATTTTCTTAGATGTAATTTAAGATGCATTTCATTTTTGTTCCTTTAATGTAATTGCAGAATTCCAAATGCTAGCTCGGCCTTAGTGTGATCTATTGACAGATATGAAAACTGTTTTCAGACTTAACCTTCCTGCATATCAAAATCGAAGTGGGAAGATACCTCAGTAAATTTGAACTGTGAAGTTTTTTCTCTCAAAGGACATGAGTTTTGCTGCTGCTTCATAGTTTTTGCTGACTGGGGTTGAGAAGCTATGTGATAAATGTCATGATGTAAGTAGCTTGTGTTGGTTCGTCAGGAGGCTACCTTGACCACCTCTTACGCTGAGTTACCTGGCCTACTAGGCTGGTGTTGCTTTCCTAGCCTCTGGAACTAAAGGCCATATGTGCACCATCCACACCCTGGCATTCCCCACATACCTATTGAAATTAACCATACCACTGTAATCTTGATGAATGCAGTAGCTCCTGAGTTATACTGATTAGCCTGGATTGGCTTTTTGATGGCTATGTAACGGTCCACTGAAATGGCACAGAGATGCATGATGGATGCAGTTGAAAAGAGAACATCAAGAAATAACCAGGCAGGACATAG